TACAGACCACGAGAAAGAGTGCATTCGAAAGTAGCAAACATAAACTGGGTTCTCACTTTTGCTAAGCTTTTTTAGAAATAACAGGCGAAGAAAAAGTTCGAGTCGAAAAAAATACTGAATTTACAAAGTTTTCATTTTTCCGCCTCGCGTATAATTTGCTTAGTTTTCTTAATTGAAGTTCTGAAATTAAAGTTTAGATATGATTTTGTAGAGCATTGCATGACGCTTCTATTAAAAAATAATTTGTTCTAGGGGACCTAAGAAACAGGAGTTCAAGCAAAAATACCGAGATCGGGTTCACCGTTAGTTTTTCTTTTTTGTGAAGCACATTTCTAAGTCTATAACTTTCTTACTATATGAGCTAGAGGGGTCAATCAAAAGCCATCTTGTAGAGCGTGTTTTACTGCGTCTTTTCATTATAGAGAGAAATTTATAAACATGTGTTTTACTTTAGAAAAATTATTATACAAATCGAGTCAGGACTTCTGGGTCACCCTTTATATCAAATTGTAGCTTGAGAAATTCTCTGTTAGATGAGGTATTGTTTGAATTTTTTCGTTATGCCGTTATTTTTTAAATGGGACTTTAAGTTAGTAGAGAAGACTAAATTACCGTTAATTAATACTAATTAGTTATTAACAAGAAGGAAAAAGCAAAAGCCTTTTTTTTCCTTTCCCATAGTAAATATTCTCCGCACATTTCTCTATCGATCTAGATGAGAACCAAAGTTTTACGATGAAAGAGAAACGGCCAGAAAATTTTTTAATAGTAGCCCTGTGCTCAAAAATTTAACATAATTTTTTTAAGTAATTAATTTTTTGCTTAGCCAGATAATGTCAGCAAGCCGAAAAAACTTTCATATACTCCAAAGTGTTCTCTACAAATTAGGAAATCTTAAAGAAAATTTAAATAGATAGAATCCTTCAACCTGGGCAGCAATAACGGCTTCTTAATTTTTAACACGGATGGATAATGGCTTGGCTTGAATGAGACCTATTGTTATGACTATAGCTTAAAAGTCATCAAAAACTACTTTTATTCACTAATGATTGTTGTCGAATAGTTCTACTTCATTAATCATTCTATTTAAATTACTAATGAATTGAAGATGTGTCGTGACAACTCGTATTTCAACATGTATCATTAATTTGAGAATAAAAGAAAAGAAAAACTATTCTTAATGATCATCTCTCTCTTTCTTTCTCTACAAGGATTATTTGACCGTTCATTCAAGGTGCACATATGAGGCAGATTGTAGACTACACTTTCTAAGAATAGCCAGTCAAAATTAACTTTCGATGATCTAACTTATTTAGAGATTCACAGGAGTATAAGCCAATATTAAATTGTCTTGGAGTTAGTTGAACAATTATTGTCGCTGATACTCTTCAAATTGAATATCAATTACGTCATTCTATATTATCGTATTTATTAAACTGTTGCTTAATTGTATATATGACTTTTCAATAATGGAAAATCGTGTTGATGAAACATTGTTTTCATTATTTAAAGTGTTACACACATTTAGTTTTCTATTTATGTTTAATATTGATTGTATCACCGATTCTGCAAGTATTATTATTATTGTTTATCAAAAAAAAGATCATAAATATAGATTTTAACAATAAAATGTGATTCAGTCATTAGCTTTTGGCACCCAGAGTGTTCAGGATAAACATTCGATGTAAAGAATAGGCTCATAATACAATAACATTACACTTTAATATAAATTTGAACTGTAGATATATGTACTAAGCACCTTTTGAGGATGAAGTTCACACTATAGAAAAATAATTTAAAACTGACCGGTATATTCATTTTGTATTTGAAGCAGTAGAGAACTGATTTTTTCAATTCTGACCACTATATTCTGGGTATATTATGGCAATTTCCCATGACTATTACTCTCAACAGATAATGATGTTCATAGTTACTTTAGCTTGAGCAATTATTATATGATAAAGTAGTATTAAGATCACGGTAATGTGCTCTAGTCTTAGTCTATTTCACACAGGTATCAACTATTATATACCACAGCTTTAATCTATTATACGAACTAATGGCAATCAAAGGTTTCTAATTGTATAAGTTTGTGTGATTATATAATAGTTTTGTTCTTGATTGCTTTTCTCACACTGTCTGTATCCTGCTCAGACAATATGTGTATAAAATGAAAAGAAAAAAAAAACTTTTGCTTCTATATTGTGCTTCTCCTTGAGATCAAAGTAACTTCGATGGTCATACCAAGATGAAAAGAGTAACGTTGCGATGAGACAATTGTCGGTTATTATGAGCTAAGATTTGTTTTCCTGTTTATAGGTCTCCTAAGGATGAGATTAATCATCAAATAGATACTATTCTTTTTAATACATTCAACGACAATATATCTAATTGTTCATAATAAAAGAAAAAAAATGATTTCTTTCATACGGACAAATTGACCATGAAGATTGGTAAACTGAGAACACCTTATTCATGCAAACAATTGATTAAAGTCCATTTTTCTATATGCAATATCAATCATATGAATTATTCAAATTCTATTCTAATCGAAAGTTGTGTGTTGTTAAAGTCGTCATACTTGTACTCATAACTCTAAAATTCAAAAATAATTCTCCTACTTAATATCACTTACATTTAGTAACGTATTCATGACATGTATTCAAGTACATGACCCGGTTTTTTCACCACCACACTTTCAGTTTATAAAAAAACCTTCAAGCTTTTTGAAAAGAAAGATATGCAATGATTGTTTTAAACTGAAATCGCTACACCATAAATGGAATCGGTGTCAAAAGTTCTTACATGTATAATATACTCAATGAATCATAAAGGATGATGACCTTCACACTCTCAATTTTTCTTTCCCACAAGAACTTGAAATTCATCAATGATAGGTGTTACAGGCTGGACCTTCGATATATATAATGAGATAATTATCTTATTTTTCTCTTGATTATACATTCTTTCTTCATCATACCACTTTTATCATACCGATTTTATTGTATCACTTGATCACGTAGTTCCACATTCTTCCCTCTTGTCTGTTATTATTACATGTACATAAATATGAAGAAAAGGATAAGACTAGTAGCAAAAAAAGAAGAGTATTTCGTTTTTTGAATAAATGGAAACGATTCGAAGAGTCAAATTAGAGCCTAATAAACAACTGGAGAGCCCTAATAGTACGTTAAATTAGCCAAAGTGTAAATAGAACGTCTTTTCATTTCTATCGTTTATATCTTCTAATAATTGCATTGACAACAACATGATTAGATTTGGAGCAGCTTGATCAGAACCATTTTTTCAACTGCCTATCGTCCAAGTGCACTACAGATAGCCTAAACGCCACAGATAGCAGTCGACAGAGTTCTCTGAAACTACTATATACTGATGAAATGATCAAAACTTTGATCAGTGTAAGAGCTCGCAGATCCAACATGCAAATAGCGGTTTTTGATCGTAGAATCTTCCCTACTATAAAGACAGAAAACATGAAATAACACTGTTAACCATTGAAAACTCTACTTGCACATACTATTCACTACATTTTGATCGAAATATTAATCTGATTTCAATGAGTAGGCATACAGCTTATGCGCACATGTATTGCAAATCGGTTTCCATTTTTCTACAATTGTTTTCGTTTATCCGAACGGAACATGGCTATCAAAAATAGACTTTTGTAGGCACATTTTGCAGATGAAGTGTAGTTTTTTCCATCCATTAGTGTATGTCTTAACTTGTTGCACTATGATGACGACTTACTAGATAAGTGCTTTTGTTGTTTGATATTCAAAAAAACGCTGGCATGGGAAAACAAAACATCTATCTATATTCTTTTCATGATCGTTCTGCTAATGTCAATACATTATCGAGTATGTGATGTGATTGAATTTCATTTATGCATATATTTACACGTTTTTTAAACTTGCTACTTTCTCATCCTATATTTTATTATCATTAACTTGTCATGATATATATTTTCTATTTTCTCTATAATTTCAGTTGTTTTCCCACGGAAAAGTAAAGTTTGTCTCATAGTTCATATTCGATATGGGATTAGGGATATGTGTGTGAGAGAGAGAAAGAGAGAGAGAGAGAGAGAGAGAGAGAGAGAAGAGAAATAAAAAATTGTCACTTCAGCGCAGATATATACATACATGTATATATATATGTATATATAGTGTTCAATTTGAACATACAGACAGTCATTCTGCTCGCTTTCAATTACACTGAACGTTTCATTCATACTTCAACTAAAAATTATGTCTTGTATACAAAATATTTCATTAATAACTGTTCCATTATCCATCGTGTTAACAACATTAAGTATTGTTTTACCGTACTGGTGGTCAACTGAAACATTTATTGTCGGATTTTGGAGAGCTTATTACCATCACACATGGATTATTATCGATCCACAATTAGATTCTCAACCAGGTAGGAAAGAGAGACAAACCAATCCACAAAGGGAATGTAAAAGAACTAGTTTTACTTAGACTTAAGACTAGAAGTATTGCTAATTTAAAAATGTTCATTGCAAGCAGTTAGCGGTAGATACTGTTCTATGACGGTTTTTCATTACTGGTTAAGTTAAAAGAATTGTTGAGCATATGTGTATAACGACATTAATTAGGAAAAAGTCTAAAACAGTTATAGCTTTTCTTCATGAATACATGACTATTCAACAACTAAATATGAAAGTCTTGAGAGTGAAAAGAGTAACTCATTATCACACTAAAGCTGATACGGTCTACCAAATGTCGCCAAGAACTCTCTGATCATCTAATAATATTTGTTCTGTTTCAGGTCGTTTACTATATTCATTACAATTATTATCATTTTTCACCGTAGTTCTAACTGATTTATCTATCATACTTTGGTTAATCGATTTGATACGTCGTGAATATAAGTATTTAATTAGTCTAATATGCACCATGATTACTTGTTGTAAGTGCCAATTAATGATAGAACACTAGCTATGATTTTAATTCTGTTCATTCTCGTTTATTGTAGGGTTTTTGATGGCCATATTGTTAGTTTTAACATTTTATACTACGACATTGAATAGTACAGCAATTCAAATAAGATTATCATATTCGTTTTATTTGGCATGTTCTGTACTCTTACTTCATTCACTAACAATTGTCAGTTTGACCATTAAATTTTGTATATATCGAACATCGAGGCGTTTCATTACACCATCAGGCATTTCTCAACTAACGACACTAGATAAAACAAAATTAGCATTTATTGACGTGTAGACTATTATTGACAATGTCTTATTTTTTCCTTGTATCCGGTGATTAACTTAAATAGACATTCTTAATATTCAATCTTGTAAATCGTTCTATTGTGGTTATTTTTTTACAAATTTTTCTCCCGTGTTACGAATAAAATCTTTGTATTTGAAAAGTGAATGTTACTCACTTTGCTCATGATTATTAAGTAGATGAATATTTATCGTCATTCGGTTCAACAAAAACAGCTGTATAACACATGTTTAGTAGTAGTATCAACGATAAATAGGAGCTCATTAGTGTGCACGTATGACAAACTTGCTATATGAAATCTATATTATAAGCATGATCGTCGTGTCTAACACTTTTAAGCTAAACATGTTTTCAATATCCGGGAATGATTACAGCGTGTATAGTGTGAGTT